AACAATCAAAAAATATACAGACATAATCAAATTAATTAATATGCTCACTGTTTTATATATTTATTAATTTAGATAGATTATTCATTGCGTGTCTATTTTTCAGATGTTTTTATTATTTATATAGATCTAAAATTAAATATATAATACAATGTATCTGCACACAAAATCTTTGTAACACGTAAATGATAATATCTTTTTAAAAAGATACATTATTTAATAATATGTTTAGAACATGTAAAAACTAGCCACCACTAAAATGGGTGAAAAAGTTATTATGAAATGAAAAAAAATAAAAACCTATTAATGAGTAATAGATCTTAGTAATTTCTAAGTTAAAAGTATATTTACTTTTAATTTTTTACCAATCATCTTTGGATATTATCCATTTTTATATATAAAAAAAAGAAACCAATTATGACCTGTCAAAATATATACAAACATCAAATTAATTAATATACTGATTTTTTTCATATATATGTAGTAATTTATATAGATTATCCATTACATATCTATTTTTAAAGTATTGTTGGGACGTAAATAAGCTCAAATTTTGAATATGCGATATGTTGTATCTGCATATAAAATCTTTGTGATACGTATATATCAATAATCGTTCTAAATATACAAGATTTTTTGAGAATATGATTTCTTAACACATTTGTCACATTTAGAGCACTATCCAATTATTATGGATACTACTTTCTATTTAACCATAGCCACATGCTCTATATAAATACTTTATCTTATTACATTAATCTTACAACTTAACTTCAATACTTTGAGTAACATGGCCAATTTAATTACTTGTAAACTAATGTTCATGATCATTATTACCATTATTAATATTTTATTCTTTTGTGAGAGTACTCATGCACGGAACCTTGGCGGTCATAAAGAAATGCAGAGCATCAATAACCGACGCCTTATACAAGAATTAGAATTTGATGTTGATAGAGAAACACCTGGTGGACCAAATCCTATTCACCATGCACTAGGTCATGTTGATAGAGAAACACCTGGTGGACCAAATCCAATTCACCATGCACTAGGTCAGATTGATAGAGAAACACCTGGTGGACCAAATCCTATTCACCATGCAGTAGGTCAGATTGATAGAGAAACACCTGGTGGACCAAATCCAATTCACCATGCACTAAGTCAGATTGATCGAGAAACACCTGGTGGACCAAATCCGATTCACCACGTATTAGGTCAAATTGATAGAGAAACACCTAGTGGACCAAATCCAATTCACCATGTATTAGGTCATATTGATAGAGAAACACCTGGTGGTCCAAATCCTATTCACCATGCACTAGGCAAGATAAATAACATGGAAGTTGATAGGGAAACACCTGGTGGATCGAATCTAATTCGTCTTGATGCACCAAACTCCAATGTCCACAAATAAAAAAGGCATTGTTCAACAAACTTGATTTGTAATTATTTATTCATGTATTTTCACTTATTTTTCTTATATATCATCAATAAATTCGTTCGAATTAAGTTAATAAAGGTTTGTCATCAAAATTAATTCTTCAAGTTCATTCTTAAGATGTATGTGTTTGCATAATACAAATGTATGTTTATGATATTTATTAGAATTTAGCATAAGGGAATCATTATTTTATTATTAGTAGGGCTATAGATCCATAGAATATCCACCACGTTGACTAGGCTGAACTTATGTGACAAAAATCGATAAAACAATAGCTGGTATACTACATCTTATTCATAATAATGCCACTTGTTAAATTCGTAGTATAAAAATTGATAGAGAAAGACCTAGTCGGTCATATCCTACTCATGAGGTCAAATGTATGACATAGAAATTGATAAAATAATATTCAATGGATTATATCCAAGACATGATGATGTACCAGATATAATATCCTATTGTTGTCCAAATTAATTTTGTTTTATTGGATAAATTTTAGAAACATATTATTATTATTATTATTATTATTATTATTATTATTATTACTACTACTATTATTATTTTTACATTGAATTTTTTAAAAAAAAAAAGAAAAGAAAGATAAAAATCAACAAGAAAAACAGAGATATAAAGTGAAAAAAATGAGAGGAAAATGACTAGAGAAAAGAAGTAAAGAAAAAAAGAAAACTAAAAAAAAAGAGCAAAAAAGGAAAAATTCAAACACAAGCACAAGCCAACTCCTTTTATCTTTTTAGTTCATTCCTTATTTGATTAAAACACATTCAAATTAAAGCCTAACATTATTTAGTTTCAATTAAACCCAAACTCATTATACTCAAATCATGTTTTAGCCCGTACAGGTCGATTACCTTATTTAAACCCAAGTCCATTTACATTTTAAAATATTTTCATCCATTTATAAAATTTAATTCAAAACCCATGAAAGCCCACCAAACTACTAAAACCCTTATCCGATCTCTCTTTTATCTAAAATAACACAGTTTTAAAATAGGTATAAAAAATTATTTAGGGTTTTTTAGTTTATTTATTCTTCCAAAATCACAAGGAGGAACCACAATAATGGGGTGATTATGAAGGATGTATGAGATGATGTTTGAACAATAATGATTAATTGTTGTATAGATATCTGTAAAACATAAAATTGAAAGTCAAAGAAACTTCTAGAAAATATAACTAGCAACCGAAACAATGAGCAGAATATCTATTATATAATACCAAAATACAAATATTCAGTTAGTACTAACCATGTTAACTCGTTCAAGAGAGAGCTCGTCTTTACTATCTTAGCATCATTATCACGACCAAACTTATAACTTCATATATTATAGAATATGAGACAAAAAAATTGGATCAATATACCCGCTCTGAACTCTTAAAATCTTTCTCTTAATTTTATTTCCTCTATAATTCTTTTAATAGCTTAAGCTCCATAAAAAGGTTTTCTCCAACATTTAAAATGAAATAAGTATTTTACTAATTGATTGTAGATAAATTGACCAATAACAAAACTATTAGAAATATATTAGGTCACAAGCATTCATATGTAACTTACCATATTAACTCGTTTAATAGCGAACATGTTTTTGCAATCTTAAGATCATTTTGGTCACTATGTAACAATTATAACTCAATACTTTATCTAGAAGCTCTTTTATGGACAACTTATGATCACTAGAATATTTCTAATATTTACACATGGAATCGATATTTTTTAATTTCTTTATTTTATATATTCTAAAGAAAATTAATAGTGGTAATAATCGATTATGTTATAATTTTATAACTACAACCTGACTCAATTTAGTAATTAAACTATCTGAATCTCATAAGTAAATCACTCTATGTAAGAATTCTAAGAGAATCTAAAATTTTGATAATATATGATATGTTTTGATTCAATTTTTGTAATTCGCTTGAATTTAACAACTAAAATATATAATCAAATATTTTTATTTGATTATATGATACTATTTACATAAATTTGTTTCAAAATCAAATATTTCTTTAATTTTCTTATTAATATAATTTTTTGAAATATTTTAATTTCTGATATTCTTCCTTAAATAATACATATAAATGATCATAAATCTTCTACTCAATTCAGTTCATGAGTATTTATTCAAAAAGTTAAATTGTTGGTTCACAACTCAAATCACAATTCCTATAACAATAGTATGACATATGTATATATATGTATACCCAAACTAATTAACTAATGAGTAGATTTTTCTCTATCCACAGCAATTTAAGTAGATCATGCATGCATATCCATTTACTTAACTGTCATGTATATAGGAACCAATTATAAGTATGCTATCACATGCACATGAAATCAAATTGGTGGATTCTCTTTTCTGATTTTTTTTATAAAAAAATTAGAAATGGGTAGTGGATATATACAATAATCTAGGTACTAATGATATTGGAGGACATATATTTATGGAGTATTAACTAAGTAATGACCATGCACTAGGTCATATTGATAGAGAAACACCTGGCGGACCAAATCCCACCATGTAATACGTCAGATTGATCGAGAAACACCTGGTGGACCAAATCTTATTCACCATGCAGTAGGTCAGATTGATCGAGAAATACCTGGTAAACCAAATCTAATTCACCATGCACTAAGTCAGATTGATTGAGAAACAACTAGTGGACTAAATCTTATTCACCATGCATTACGTCAAATTGATAGAGAAACACTTGGTGGACCAAATTCAATTCACCATGCACTAGGTCAGATTAATAGAGAAACACCTAGTGGACCAAATCTTATTCACTATACACTAGGTCAAATTGATAAAGAATCACTTGGTGGACCTGATCCTATTCACCATGCACTAGGTCAGATTGATCGAGAAACACCTGGTGGACCAAATCATATTCACCACGCACTAGGTCAGATTGATAGAGAATCACTTAATGGACCTTATTCTATTCACCATGCACTAAGTCAGATTGATCGAGAAACAACTAGTAGACTAAATCTTATTCACCATGCACTATGTCAAATTGATAGAGCATTACCCGGTAGACCTGATTCTATTCACCATGCACTAGGTCAGATTAATCAAGAAATACCTGGTAGACCAAATCCTATTCACCATGCATTAAGTCATATTGATAGAGAATCACCTGGTGGACTAGATCTTATTCACCATAAATTAGGTCAGGTTGATAGAGAAACACCTAGTGGACCAAATCCTATTCACCATGCACTAAGTCAGATTGATCGAGAAACAGCTAGTGGACTAAATTCTATTCACCATGCACTAGTTCAAATTGATCGAGAAATACTTGGTGGACCAAATCCTATTCACCATGCATTAGGTCAAATTGATAGAGAATCACCTGGTGGACCAGATCCTATTGACCATGCACTAGATCAAATTGATCGAGAAACACCTAGTGGACCAAATCCTATTCACCACGCACTAGGTCAAATTAATAGAGAATCACATGGTGGACCTGATCCTATTCATCATGCACTAGGTCAAATTGATCGAGAAACACTTGATGGACCAAATTCTATTCACCACGCGCTAGGTCAGATTGATCGAGAAACACCTGGTGGACCAAATCCTATTCACCATGCACTAGATCAGATTGATAGAGAAACATCCGGTAGACCAAATATTATTCACCATGCACTAGGTCAGATTGATCAAGAAATACTTGGTGGACCAAATCCAAGGTGCAGTAGGTCAGATTGATCGAAAAACACTTGATGGACTAAATCCTATCAACCATGCACTAGGTCAAATTAATGGAGAAACACCTAATAGGCCAAATTCTATTCACCATGTACGAGGTCAGAAATATAGAGAAACACCTAATGAACCAAATATTATTCACCATGTACGAGATCAGATTGAGTGAGAAACACCTGATGGACCAAATCCAATTCACCATATATTAGGTCTGATTGATCGAGAAACACCTAGTGGACCAAATCCTATTCACCATGCACTAGGTCAGATTGATTGAGAAACACCTAGTTGACCAGATCTTATTCACCATGCACTATGTCATATTGATTGAGAAACATCCGGTGGACCAAATCTTATTCACCATACACTAAATCATATTGATAGAGAAACACCTAGTAGACCAAATTCAATTCACCATACACTAGGTCAAAATACACTAGGTCAAATTGATCGAGAAACACCTGCTGGATTAAATCCTATTCACCATGCACTAGGTCAGATTAATAGTGAAATACCTGGTGGACCAAATCTTATTCACCATGCACTAGCACATATTGATAGAGAAACACCTGGTGGACCAAATCTTATTCACCATGTACTACCTCATATTGATAAAGAAACACCTGGTGGACCAAATCCTATTCACCATGCACTAGGTCACATTGATACATAAACACCTGGTGCACTAAATCTAATTCATCATGCACCAAGTCTGATTGATAGAGAAATACCTAGTGAACTATATCGTATTCATAGTAATGTCGTTTGTTAAATTCATAGTGTAAAAAATGATAGAGAAAGACCTAGTCGACCATATCCTACTCATGACGTTAAATGTATGACATAAAAATCGATTAAATAATATTCAATGAATTAGATCCTACTCGTGATTATGTTTCGGATATAATATCCTAATGTTGTCCAAATTAATTTTGTTTTATTGGATAATTTTTAAAAACGTATTATTATTATTATTATTATGAGTTTTTTTTATAAAAAAAAAAGACAGAAAAAAAATTTGAAAAAAAAAGAGATATAAAGTGAAAAATAAAATGAGAGGAAAATGACTAGAGAAAATAAGTAAAGAAAAAATAAAAAATTAAAAAAAAAAAGAGCAAGAAAGGAAAAATTCAAACACAAGCGTAAGCCAACTCCTTTTATCTTTTTAGTTCATTCGTTATTTGATTAAGACACATTCAAATTAAAGCCTAACATTATTTATTTTCAATTAAACCCAAACTCATTATACTCAAATCATGTTTTAACCCATTCAAGTCGATTACCTTATTTAAACTCAAGTCCATTTACATTTTTAAATATTTTCATCTATTTACAAAATCTAAATTCAAAACCCATCAAATCCCACCAAACTAACAAAACTCCTATCCGATCTCTCTTTTTATCTAAAAAAAAACACAAAATACGTATAAAAAATAATTTTGGGTTTTCTAGGTTTATTTAATTCTTCTAATCAGAAGGGGGGGACACAATAATGGATGATTATGA